GTGTGTGTGTGTGTGTGTGTGTGTGTGTGTGTGTGTGTGTGTGTGTGGACTTCTGGCTTAATTTTTAACAACTAAATAAAACACTTCAGATTAATGAAGTGAAAGAACACCTGCTAAAGAAGCCACCCCCATACCAAAGCACGGGGGTGGCACCACCATCTTGTGGGGATTATCCATTTCTGTTAATCAGCAGAGAAACTGGTCCGAGTTGAAGAAGAACGGAGCCAAATATGGAGAAGGTTCTGAGGAAAAAGATCTGGTCCACCTCCGAGGAGGACCAAGATCCAGAACTCAGCGCTGAAGGAGAACCAGTTAAAGGTTCTGGAATCGTCCAGTCAAAGCCCAGGACTCTGTCTCCAGTCCTGGTCCTGGAGAACTACCAACCTGCACATTCTAGATGAGACCAGGTTTGAGTGGTTAACAGGAGTGTGGCACCCCAGGACCAGGACTGGTCTGAAGGAACTGCAGCAGTCTGGTCACAGATGGGTCCATCTTTGTGTCTCCAGTTCTACAACAGAGGCGGCATGCCCAGCAGGAACTTGTGGGGAGACATCTGTGCCGTGTGCGGTCAGAAGATCCTGGTGGAGGTGGAGGAGGAGGGCTTCATCGAGGACACCTACCAACTCTCCTGTGGTCACATGTATCCTGACACCTCCTGCAGGACCAGGACTGACCGAGCTGTGGCTCAGGGGGTCACAGAAACCTGATTTTCTGCTCCAGGTTTCAGCCTTAACTCCTCTGACCAGATTCCACGAGTTCTGCATCCGCGGCTGGTGCATTGTGGGTAAGAAGCAGACGTGTCCGTACTGCAGTGAGAAGGTGGACCTGCAGAGGATGATGAACAACCCGTATCCTTTGGTCCGTCACGTGTAGACATGGAGCAGTTCTTCAACAAACCGAATGTTCAAACGTCCTGATGCTGCTCAGAACCAGGGAGAAGAAAAGTCTTAACAGAGTTCAGTCAGGTCCTTGGACGGATTCAAACATTTATTTAATCCATCCAGAGGACCTGAGGAGACCAGCTGTTGGAGGTTCTGGAGGACCTGATGGAGGACTCAAGTCGTTTAATAGTCCTGGATCTTCTCTACTGAATGGAGCAGAATTTCTAAAAGCTGCAGACACTTCCTGCATTCATGGAGCCTGTCCAGATGTTACAGGCACTAATGCACCCCTATACCATCAGAGAGGCAGCTGTTTGAACTAATGGTCCCTCTCCTCTTCAGTACAGAGGGCGTGGCCTCCATGGTTTGGACCCGTCTGACCTCAGAACAGTTCTGGGCTCACCTCAGTCCATTAGAAACAAGCCCTGGTCCAGAGAAGACGGCATCGGTTCTGGACAGTGTTCACATCTGTGAACAGAACCAGACCTGGTTTAATGCTGTGGCCCCTGAGGGTCTCGTCCTCTGTGGATCAGATTATGGGCTGGACATGATGAAGATTAAAGTCTTTGTTCAGGACTTTGATTCTGAAAGAGTTCCTGTAGTGTTGGACAGCTGAACCTCTGCCCATCTTTACTTCTTAAGCCCCCAGTATACTGCCACGTACATCCATACGCAGAGGTACGCACGTACGTACGCAGAGGTACGTGCGTACCCCCAGCGTACCCTCCGTGCAAAGCTCAAATTTTTATGACCGCATACGCGTACGCGGTGTCGCACAATAAACTGCCCAGCGACGGACTGTTTTGTATGCGACACCAATGTATTAAATTCCCCTTCTTCATCTCTGATCTGGCCTTTTCTTTTGTTTTGTTGCCAAGAGGCTCTTCTTTAATCTCTTCCTCCTCCGTTGACTCCATGACTGAAATGGTGACAAATGAAGGAATTTGTCACGAGCAAATTAAACTCAGGTCCAGCGTGGCTGCGGGAGGGTCTGGAGATTTCCTGGTGGGCTGGTCTGATGTGTGGGCTGTAGAGCCAGCGCTCCCTGTTTTTTTTTTTTAGATCTTTTTATTAACAACATATAAACACAGCACATCGCTGTGGCTGCCAGCGCTCACTTTTTTTTCCCTTTTTTCCGACCTGTCAATCAATCCAGTAGGCGTGTCAGCAAATGACCAATCGGCGACCTCAATTTGTCCCAAAGGTAAACGCCCCTTGTCTGTGAAGCTGCTCTGCAGCTTATCGGGGTGTACGCTGGAGTACGAAGTCTGAACCCTCTGCATACAGTACACGCGTACGTACGCGTGAATGGACGTACGCGGCAGTATACTGGAGCCTTAACAGTCTGTGAGTGAGCTGCTGGTTCATCACTGCTCCTGCAGCTGCTTCTGATCCAAACATCTGAGCTGTCCTCCAGCCTTCAGCTGCTCCTGGAACCACTTTTATAAAAACTTGTTGCTGCTGTCAAATTACAAGAGCCTTTATTGTATTTTGAGGGAACCATTTCTTAGTTTGATCAGTTTATGTGTTTACAGAGTTCCACTGCAGATAAATGTTAGGTTTATGAAATCAGTTTTTACATTTGACACAACATCCAAACTTTTCAGTGTCCGAGTCGTAAAATCCAAGAAAACTTTGAGTCCTGTTCTCCTGAACTGTTCGTTTTTGTCCAGCTGGGAGAAAACTCACGTTCTGTATGCTCGGCTGCTCGACTGGCTCAGATATTTAGTCGCCTGGCAGCCCATCATCATCGGCATTGTTCACGGGATTAACTTCTCCCTGGGCCTGGAGTAGAACCCTGAGGAACGCCACTGTGGAAGCCAGTAACTGTCAGACTTGGAGCCACGAGGTTCTGATCTGGGCCGCAGGAGAGTCCTCCAGCACAGATCCAGTATTTGAACATGCTTCGTGTGCTGTTCGTATAGAGTAGGGTCAGGCACCGACCGATGAATAAGCTTCTGCTTTTTTCTGAACCTGCAGCTTTTTGGATACTTGAGCCGCTCCGGAGCTCAGTTTTTCTCCTGAACATCGTATTTCCTCTGAGACAGTTTGATACAATTTATTCTGGTTAGAGACTGTGTGCAGGTCAGAAAGTCCTGCTGAAGAAAACTTTGTGTTTAATAAATATTTATATTTATGAAAAGGTGCCCGTCGTGCGTTCTTTGTTCTCACCTATAGTGAACCTTAAACTGTTTACCAAAGTTCCTGCTCAGTAATCCAGGTACAAATCCAACAATGTTAATCTGAGCGGTTTCTTTTCATGCTGAGACGTTTCGTCCTTCATCCAAAGAAGTTTATCAGTCTGAGGAGCCACCAAACAAACTGTGGAGTCCCACAAATACCACTCTCCCAGAGTGGAAAAAAAACAGTTTGCTGGTGATGAGCTCGTTTCTGGGGGCCACCCTCTCCCCCATCAACTCCTCGAGGCAGCCATGCCAAAGTGGTTCAAAACATCAAAGTTCATGCTCAGTAATCAAGGTACAAACTGTCCAACTACAAAACTACAAAATAAACTGTTTATAGTAAATTTTAGTTTTATGAAATGCAACAAGAGATCGCTTATTACCCAAACAGAAAACCTTGGCTGAATGCAGAGGTGCGCACCCTGCTGGAAGCCAGGAACACTGCCTTCAGGTCTGGAAACTCAGAGGATCTGAGTAGGACAAGAAAAGAGCTGGTTGCTTGTATTAAGAGGGCCAAGGCCACATATGCAAAGAGGATTGAGGGTCAATTCATCTCACAAGACCCTCGGAGCATGTGGAGGGGCATTAAGTGCATAACAGATTATAAAGGAAGGAGTGAACAATGCCCCAAAGACCCATCTCTGCCTGATGCCCTCAACAAGTTCTATGCACGTTTTGAAGACCCGAACAGACCACCCAGCACCAGACTCACCTCACCACCGGATGAAGAGCATCTCAGCGTGACCTCAGCAGAAGTAAGGAGTACCTTCAGGAGGATTAATCCGCACAAAGCAACTGGCCCAGACAACATCCCCGGAAAAGTGTTGAAGGAATGTGCTGATCAGCTCTGTGAGGTGCTGGCAGACATCTTTAACACCTCACTTACCCTGGAGACAGTTCCCACCTGCCTGAAGACTGCCACCATCATCCCAGTCCCAAAGAGCTCTACAGTGACTGGTCTGAATGACTATCGGCCAGTGGCCCTCACCCCGATAGTCGCTAAATGCTTCGAAAAACTGGTCATGACTCGCATCAAAACAACCATCAACATCAACGAGGACCCTCATCAGTATGCATACCGTGAGAACCGATCAACAGAGGATGCCATCTCTTCTGTGGTCCACACTGCGCTCAACCACCTGGAGCAGAAAAACTCTTACGTCCGTATGCTCTTTGTGGACATCACATCCGCCTTCAACACCATGATCCCCCAAACCCTGATGGACAAACTATCCACACTAGAACTAAGCCCCTCCATTTGCAACTGGGTACTAGACTTTTTAACAAACAGACCACAGTTAGTGAGGATCCACAACTTCTCCTCCTCCACCATAACCCTCAGCACTGGCTCTCCTCAGGGATGTGTGTTGAGCCCCCTTCTGTTTACTCTGCTCACATATGATTGTGCAGCTACCCATCCAGGCTGCACATTGTAAAGTTTGCAGATGATACAGCGGTGGTGGGATGCATCACAAACAATGATGAGCCCAGCTATAGGCAAGAGGTGGAACACCCGGAGAGCTGGTGCAGAGAGAATAACCTTCACATCAATGTGAAGAAGACAAAGGAGATGATTGTGGACTTCAGAAGGAACAAAAACATCTACACCCCCCTGAACATAAGAGGATCTGCGGTGGAAGTGGTCTCCAACTACAAGTACTTGGGTGTGCATCTGAACAACAACCTCAGCTGGAGCAACAACACCACCAGCCTGATCAAGAAAGCTCATCAGAGACTCTACTTCCTCAGGCGGCTGAGGCGAGCTGGTCTGGAAGCTCAGTCCTCACCTCCTTCTACAGGTGTGCAGTGGAGAGCATCCTGTGCTCCAGCATCAACGTGTGGCATGGAGGCTGCACAGCTGCAGAAAGAAAAGCTTTGCAGAGAGCGGTGAAGGCTGCACAGAAGATGTTGGAGTCAGTCTCCCCACCATCACAGACATCTACACCTCCAGATGCAGGAAGAGGGCCACCTGCATCATGAAGGACCACACTCACCCAGCACACACACTTTTTGCCCCACTCCCCTCAGGAAGGAGGTTGAGGAGCATTAAGTGTAGAACCACTAGACTGAGGAACAGCTTCTACCCTGAGGCTGTTAGACTCATGAATCTCTAACCAGAATAATCACTGTGAAAAATCATATCATGTTGCTGCTGATCTGTTTCATGTTGCTGCTGATCTGTTTCAATGTTGATGTGTTCATGCGTGCACATCTGCTCACAGACTCATGTTCATGTTTGTGCTGATGATCAATGTTTTATGTTATGAGTGCTTAGTGTATATTTAGTTGATGTTTTTCTTAGTTCATATCTTAGATGTTATTACTGTTTTTCTTATACATTTTATTGTTGGATGTAACTGGGACCCTGTGGACATAATTTCGCTCCACCACATGTACCACATGAGGTGCGAATGACAATAAAGAAACTCTGACTCTGACTCTGATCTAAACAGTTGTGTTAATTAAATAATTCAGTCTTGTTTGAAACCTTCACTTGTAAAACATTAATATTCAGTATTATAATTCTTGGAGTTTTATATCCACGTGCTAACTGCCAACCAATTGGTAATGGAATAGTTGTTAATTTTCTTTGTTCTCATATCTTGTGTTTTCTCATAAATCTACATTTAACACTATACATGGGAATTTTAAAAGAATATTGATATCCCTGTTTGATTGTTCATTTCATGTTCTTTACAGTTTTTAGCTGTAGCTTTATGCATTGTTCAGAGTTATGGCTTTTCCTAAAATCACTTTTTCCTCCCTGTTGTAGGAGACACTTGTTGTATTTGGGCTCTAGGCCTTAACTAATTTAAACAAAGGTTTAACAGTGTACTTAAGTTTAGTTATGTTAAATCTGTCCAATCCTCCCTGAAGTTAAACTTATGTAAATGTTAGTATGTCAAACTACTATGCTTTATTCTGCTAGTTAACACTCTGTGGTGTTGCTTTAATAATGAGCCTAGAAGTTTGTTTATACGTTTTGCTCTCTATGGTTCTGATTCTAGTAGTTACAGATGGTACTTTCAATCTCTGGAGTTGATGTTTCGGTTGTTAATAGTTCAGGTGTTCTAGTTGCTTCTGCAGTTTCTGTAGGTGTTGTTCCAAAGTTTGAAGGTATAATATCTGACTTTGTAGCAGTTAAAATCTCAATATAGGTAGTTTGTTTACTCAAGGTAAAGATATTTAATTCTGTTAATCGAGTTTATCAAATGAAAACTATTAGTAAATCATTTAAGAACATTGGGTTAATTTGTCCTCCAGTAGTCTAAGTCTAAGCGAAAGGCAGCATAACAAGCCAACCCTAACTATAGGATTTATCAAAGAGAAAAGTTTGAATCCCAGTCTTAAAACTGGACAATGTGTCAGCCTCACGGACAGAAACTGGAAGTTGGTTTGCCAGAGAGGAGCCTGAGAACTGAAAGATCTTCATCCCATTCTGCTTTTGGAAACTCTAGAGGCCACAAGTATGTCTGCAGTCTGAGAACGAAGTGCTCTGTTAGGAAAATATGGAACAATAAGATCTGTAATATAAGATGGAGCCAGGTTGTTGAGAACTTTAATGCTTTAATGCCCTCCGTACACTTGAAATCATTCATTCAACCTTTATTTAGACAGGTAAATCCCAATGAGCCTCGGGGTCTCATTTACAAGAGAGACCTGATTTCAACAAAGAACGATGACAACAATGGACAACAGCGACAACAATAAACAGTTATAAAAAGTCATACTGCAGGGTTTTTTTTTTTTTTTTTTTTTTTTTTTTTTTTTTTACATATAGGATGGCTAAAAGAAGGTAACAAAAAAAACAACAAACAGCTAGATTCTAAGACAAATGTAGAAAACTAAAAACAGGGACATGTCTGCATTGGTCCCTGCCAGGAGTCCAACAGATTCTTAAAGACACTTAGAGAGGACAAGATATTCATGATATATATTCATTCAGTATATATATATTCAGATATACATGATATTCTCATCACACTGTTTCCAGTCCTTCTGAGGATCCAGTGTCTCTTCTCTGGTGGTTTATTATAAGTAGGATGCAGGTTTTCCTCTGTCGGCCATTTGTTTACAAAGTGAAATGAGCACACAAACCGCGTTTTGAGTGGTTTCCTCAAATTCAGATTCTTCAGCTACATTCTTCCTAATTCCTCATCTGTAGGTAGGCAATGAAAACCATACCACTTTTCACAGGAATAATCTTTTTTGGTTTTGGGTCTATATTCAAAACACTATTGCTGTAGCCTTAGCTTGTTCTGGTTGTTCGTGCAACTGCGAACAGCACAGCAGGTATCTGAACCCCGGTAGAACATTTTAGTAAATTTCACGTTTAAACAAAAACAATGTTTGCTTTGATAAACTGAATGCAAGTAACTTACAAAAAAAAAAAAAAAAAAACTGCGCCCGGTTCTCCGCCAATATATTACTGATACTTCCGGTGTTATTTTTCAGCTGTTGTCTCCTCGCAGAACGTTGCGTAGACTCCTCCAGAACTCCAGCCTCCTCTCCTCCTCCTGAGGCCACTCCAGGTAGGTGGTGGAGCTCATGATTTTGCGTAGTTTGCAGAAGCGTCTAGGGACGTCGTCCATGGACAATGGCTCCAGCAGGATCAAGATGGCCACATCCCCACCGGTGTCAAAGAGCCAGAAGTGGGAGAAGTCCAGTTCATAGCGGCACCAGTCGGATTGAACAAAGTTTTGGGATAGGATGAACACAGTCCGTCGGCTGCGCTCGATGGCGTTCATGATGTTGTCCATGATCCACTGTCCGGGAAGGAAGTCCCGCTTGTGGAGGCACAGGGTCAATGGACGAGAGGACCTGGGACTCTCAGAGTCATCCTCACTGTAGAAATGGAAATATGAAACCAGGTTACTGATCCATCTTTCAGCTTCTTTAAATATGTGTATTATTTGTGACTCAGTATAATCTAAAAAAGTTAAATCTGGTCCTCTGGACATTCAAAAAAAAAAAAAACAACAACAAAAAAGTAGAAACGTTTCGTCTCTCATCCGAGAGACTTCCTCAGTCTGAGGTGCTGTTTTCAGCTCAGTCTCTTAAATAGCACCTTCTCAGAGTGGATCAACCAGTTTGCTGCTGACAACCAAAACCAGCTGATCACATGCTCAAGAAGGACCATCAGCCTAACAATGGATCATTAGCACACTGATGGCTGTTTACTGTTCACAGAGGGCTGAGTGATACTAGCAATCACAGCATTGTAAGAGGGGAACAGTTGAACTCGGAGGCCTCCACCCCTGTTTAATGATGGACGGTTTCTTTTCACAAATATGGCCTCCTTTACTCCTCTCTCAAACCCTCGTTCCTCTCTGTCCAGGATGTGAACATCTTCATCCCTGAAAGAGTGACCGCTGGCCTGGAGATGAGTGTAGACCGCAGAGTCCTGGCCTGATGATGTTGATCTTCTGTGCTGGGCCATCCTTTTGGCCAGTGGCTGTTTTGTTTCCCCGATGTAGGACTCAGTATAATCTTTCTTTACCATTCTCATACGCTAAAAAAACAACTTAAAGAGTTTTAATGGGACATGCAGAATCACAGAAACCTATTGTTGCTTGTGGAACTTTTTGTAACGTGACTTCTTTTAAAGGTAGACTGTAAACAAAGCCCCTAAACTGTATTTTTCAAAACCAGGTTCCAGAGCAAGAAAATGACCCAACACCACTGTTGCATTCTCATGTGAACAGCTAAAATACAACTTTTTAAAAACTGTGATGTCATAGACCCACTTCCAACCTCACCTACAGCCCCAAACATGACTGATGTAGCAGCAAGAATTAAAGATTGTTCTTGTTTGTTGCTCAACAACAGCAAAACCTTGATATGCTGTTTAACTTCCAACAACCAGATCAGGTTGTCGAGAAACAACATCTTGAATAGAGTAGATGAAAACAATATTACACCAAATAATCTGAGTCCAAAAAAGTTTTTTGTCACTTTATTGAACTGTCTAAAAAAGTTAAATCTGGTCCACTGGACATACTTTTTATTTATTTTTTTTAATTGTAGAAATGTTTCGTCTTTCATCCGAAAGACTTCCTCAGTCTGAGGTGCTGTATTCAGCTCAGTCTCTTAAATAGCACCGTCTCAGAGTGGATCAACCAGTTTGCTGCTGACAACCAGAACCAGCTGATCACATGCTCAAGAAGGACCATCAGCCTAACAATGGA